TAAACCCCACACACCCATTTAACTGCCCCGCCCTGGACGACCTCGGTAGATAGCATAGTGCTAAGTTGCTGATCATACCCAGGGAGAATAATCGCGACCGTGTGACGACGACGTCGTAAGAGAGAGAAGTCAATCTTACAAAACGTGCTTCCGAGCTCCTTGTCCCACCAAAGTGCGAGAAACGAGCCCTGAAGACGCTCGGGCAAGTCACGACCGCCCTCGATCTCCTCCAGCGCCTGTACATCCTCAAAGAGCGGTCTCGCCCAGGGATTGGCGTAGGCGGTGAGACGACCCATGGTGTCATACTGTGGACGATCGCCCACTTCAAGTTCAGCAGAAATTGCTGCCAGAATCTGAGCGTGTCGCGCCGGATAACGCACAAACTGCGCAAGCCACTCCAAGCGACGGACCCGAAGTTCAAGGAAAGCTGGCGTAACCCGCCAATGGTTGAGCACCTGCTCATTGCTGAGACTCTGAACATGTCCGGTGCCTTCGGAGCTCGCCCCCCTCATAGCCACTCTACAATATCTTACCAGAAAAGAATCAAATTCCTTACACGATCCCTCCGTCACCACGTAGGCCTCCAAGTTCTGGACCCCTGCATTCTGAATTCCCAGTAAAACCGACCTTTTCAAACGATACGATATCCCAGGAGTCGACCAAAACCTGCCCAAGGAATGGAACGAGCTGTTGATCGCGTTCAAGCGCTTATTGACCTCTGGAGTGATCGAGCCCATGGAATGAATCTCCCCTCCCAGCACCCTCATAGATGGACTAACCCCACCTTCAAACAATGCAGATGCAGAAGCTCGAAGACGGCGATTTGCGGCCACTGAGCCCTGGCCAGTGAGACAGACGACAGTGCTCTGCTTACTCCTGTTCTGCGCCCATCCCCCTATCTTGAGCACTTCATCCAGTACCTTATTGGAATAGAAGTTGGCGGCAGAAAGCTCCGCCAAGCCCGCGTCACTGTACGAGGCAGAAGGGCCGCCTCCTATATGCAGCTTTGTGAGATCATCGGCATACTTGGTGAGAGACAGGTCCACAAACATGCCTGTAATCGGACAAGCAGCTGCAAGAAGCGCCTCAGGCGGCATCTGGGCGTACAATACCTCACTCCACTCACAGACTGGGATCTCATAGGCTCTGCCAAAGCTCTCGACCGCATACGGACCTCCCATGAGCGCCCCACATCTAGGTTTCACTACGACAGCGCGATCACGAGCTGGGAGACATATCGAAGCGGACTCGAATCGATCACGTCCAAACTGACGATCAGGAAAGTCTAAAAGAGCGGAACTAGCTTCCTCCAAGAGACTCCAGGATGTACTCGGGAAAGGAGGAGGAGGAGGAGGAGGAGGAGGAGGAAAGGGAAGGGGGCCGTTGTTCGTTGGACCACCGATGGTGCGTGGGTCCACCAGGATGGCCAGGGGCCCGCCCCACGAAGCTCCGCCGCTCCCAGAGGCCTTGCCTGACCTTCCAGAGTGCAGAAAAGTGGCCCTCCAGACCTATACAGGCCAATCTGGATTGCTGGACACCTCGACCAGATTTTAGATGTCGAGGACCTGGTGCCATTTCTTAGACCTCGAGGAAAGTCAGGGGTGGGGCGTCGCACTCGTGGACGCCTTCGAAGGCATGCCCCGTCAGAACTCGGAGCCGAGTGCACTCGGGCTGCCTCTCGCCAGCCACCTGCGCGACTTATCCGCTGGCACGGCGCCGTCCCCTCGGTCTCCGTGGTGCTCTCGCCGCTGGCATTTGAAGCGTGGCTACCCTTGGTCAGCGCCTTTCGAGGAGGAGGGGGAGCAGGAGGAGGAGGAGGAGGAGGAGGAGGAGGAAGAGGAGGACGAGGAGGAGGAGGAGGACGAGGAGGGGGACGCGACAGGTACCCTCTGGCGACCGACAACGGCCCTCGGCGCCACTGCCCGTGGCTGCCCCCGCTCTGCCTGCGGGCCCCGCCCCGCTCGCTCCGCTCGCTTGCGGACGTGCGCCGGGGCCCCTCGGCCGAGACGGCGGCGACGACGACGACGACAACGGCACCGTTATCTCTCACACGGTTCGGGTACGGGGCCTGCGCCCACCCACCGCAGAAGTGGGCCCTGGGGCTCCACGGGAAGGGAAAGCCTTCCTGCCACCCTCCCTCCCTCCCCTTCCCCTTCGTGCCCCCCCCACTCCCTTCGCCTCGCCCCCTTCTCCTCCTCTCCTACCGAGATGGTGCTGCCATTAGAGGATCTGACCTGGCGTTTTGAGGAGCTGAATGTGCAGGAGAGTCCAGAATCGAATCGACAAGTCGGATTGGAAAACGGCCTGCATCCGATCGACGGAAATCGGCAGACGAGTCGGGAAAAGTTGCACCGGCGGAAATCGACAGGCTAGCAGGCCTCCATTGAGAAATCGGCATCCAAATTAGAATCTAAAGTCGAATCGAATCGGAATCTGAAGCCATCGAAATCGAATCGAATCGAATCGGAGGAATCGAAACGAGCCCTGGATGCGTCGGCCGAGGTTTCGAGTGGCGCCCCATTGGTGGGCGCCTGATGAGCGCCTCCTGGGCGCCTCGTCTTGGGTGGGTCGCCCGAGGTTTCGCCAGGTGCCCGCTCCGACCCTTCCAAATCATCGCAATACCACCTCATCCTCGATCCTCTTCCTCCTCGATCCTCCTCCTCCTCCTCCTCCTCCTCCTCATCATCATCATCCTCATCCTCCTCTCCTCTCCTCCTCCTCCTCCTCGACCCTCCTCCTCCTCCTCCTCCTCTTCCTCCTCCTCCTCCTCCTCCTCTCCATCCCCTCCTCCTCCTCCTCCTTTATCTCCTCCGCCTCCTCCTCCTCCTCCTCCTCCTCCTCCTCTTCCTCCCCCTCCTCCTCCTCCGACTCCTCCTCCTCCTCCCCGTCCTCCTCCTCCCCTCCCCCTGCTCCTCCTCCTCCTCCTCCTCCTCCTCCTCCTTCTCCTCCTCCTCCTCCCCTCCTCCCCCATCTCCTGTTTCCTCCTTTTCCTCCTCCGCCTCCTCCTCCTCCTCCTCTCCTCCTCCTCCTCCGTCTCCTCCGCCTCCTCCTCCTCCTTCCCTCCCCGTCCTCCTCCTCCTCCTCCTCCTCCTCCTCCTCCTGCTCCTCCTCCTCCTCCTTATCCCCCTCATGAGGAAACCACGCATGAGGAAGCCCGAACACCTGCTGGCCAACATGGACCCTAAACAGTGCGCGTTTTCTTCCAACCCGTGCCTGTAAATATAAATTCCCATTCTCTCTGTTCAGCAATCGGTTAAGCCTTCCGGCTCTTCGCAGCGTCGCCGCGGGCGCCTCGTGGGCACCCCGCGCCTGGCATGCACGCCGAGGCTGCGCCACGCTGCCGTCCATGCTGCCTCGTGGGCGCTCCGTGGGTGCCCCGCGATTGGGGTGCATATGCCGAGGCTGCGCCACGGTGCCGTCCGTGCCGCCTCGTGGGCGCCCCGTGCGCTGGGTGGGTGTCCCGAGGCTGCGCCGGGCTGCCGTCCGTGCCGCCTCGTGGGTGCCTCGTGGGCGCCCGGGTACCCTGAGCTTGCACGACATGGCTTCCACCAGATCGCTCGCACCGCATTCTTTACACCGCACATGCATATGTGCATTCACACAGCACAGCCTGCCACACAAAACTTACACCCCACTGCTTCCACCTTCAACCCACACCGCCTGGCATGTACGACACCGCCGTCACCACATAGCTTATCACACCGCATAGCTGTCACCCCCGCAGCTTACACCACAAAGCTTACAACACATAACTTCCACCACATAGCTTCCACCTCCACAGTGCAAACACACAACAAACAACACCTGAGTAAAGATGTTCCTCCTCCTCCTGCTCCCCCTCCCCTTGCTTAGAATGAGAAGACAAGGTCCTTTGGGAAACGAGTCCTGTACGCAAGAGCTTCGCCCCTGGAACCACATGCGCTTCACCCCGCATCGACGCTTGACGGTCCATGGGTCTGGCGAGGGGCCCGGGAAGAGACAAACTGGCGCAGGACTCGTTGCCCACGGCCCTTTTCCTTCACAGGGGCGCATCCTCTGTTCCTCGCCCTCTTCCTCCCCCTCTTCGCCCTCTTATTCCCCCCCTCTTCGCCCTCTGTTCCTCTCCCGTTATTCCCCCCCCTTCGCCCTCGTTTTCCCGTTTCCCACGGCCCGTTTGCTTCACAGGGACGCATCCTCTGTTCCTCTCCCTCTTTCTCCCCCCCCCTTCGCCCTCTCAGATGGTGGAACCGAGCAGGGTGGTGCAGCGCGGTCCCGTCGTCAAGGAGAACTGTTTCCTCCTCCCCATCCTCCTCATCCTCTTCCCCATCTCCACGTCACACCCCCCTTCTTGCCAGCTGCACATTATAGATTTTACTCTCCACTCTCCCCTGGCTCCGTCTGGAAGATAGGCGGCTCTCTCCGAGTCATGCGTATTGCTTGCACGCAGGATTTGGCAAAGGGGATGATTCTTATGGCTTTCTAAAATCGGATTGTTCTCGGCGTTTCGAATGGTGCTCTCGCTGCAGCGTAGGCCTCGTTTTCGGATCGTCTCTTTGCTCCCGTAGTTCAGATTGACGCTCTCGCCCCAATACAGGGCACTTCTCTGGATCCGAGTCCTTCTTCATCGTTGCCGCTCCCCTCGTTGCCCCTCCTCTGCCACCCCCTGGTTCTCCTTCTCCTCCCGCTCCTTTCACCCCAAAGCATGCTGCTGATGCTGTTCGTCCTCGTCCTCCTCCTGCCACATCCGCCTCATTTCCCTACCTGCTCCTGCGAACCATTTGGCACACTCGTCATCTTCTCCTCCTCCTCCCCTTTTCCTCCTCCTCCTCCGATGTTGCGATTGCGCATAGCACAGTGAGGTCTGTTTTAAAATTCCAGGTCGGCTATGGCACGCGTCCGCGGATGTAAACAACATCTGAGAGGGAAGGGTATGATGTCAGATATGGCGCGACCGCACCCAGCTTGACCCAGCTTGCCACTCGCCCTCTTCTCTCCCTGGGGCGGCGAAACAGCGCGCTCTCCTCCATGCGCAGCGGCTCCAGCTCGCGCGCGCCGCAGTTCTCCTCAGGGGGGACAGGGTGTGGCAGCGGGGAAGGGCGGGTGGGCTCGGGGTCGAGGAAGTGATGCTCGTTCACAACATTCAAGTGTAGAGGCGCGCCTACGGCAGAAGAGTTCCAGTGCTGCGTTTGCTTCACGACGCCCAGATGACTTGTTCAGAAACACATGTTCCAAGCACGAGCGTATGCTTGAACAAATGACGAATGGTAACAAAGACACCCTGGCAACAATCAGGCAATTTCTCGAGGCGCGTTCCGACTGTGCTTCCCCTGCGACGATCATGCACCATACCCTACACCGTACCATGTCTGGACTCCGTGAAGGCCCCACTCCAACGCGGTACTATGCACAGTTTTGTTCGTCCCCTGGGGTGACCAACTATGCACTGTACCATTCCTCGGTGCAAACCCGACGAGGCCTCAAAACGTCAATGCGGGAGGGTGCAACAGTCGTCCGCGGATTACCCGGTCGCCGCGTCCTCGATAAACACGTACTGGAACCTGACGTCCTTCTCACGCACAGTTACGGTCCATCTCAGCGTCTGGCCTGCGCGCTCCAGCACCCCGCCGCCGCATGCCCCTTCGCCCCCGCTGTCCCCCTTCCTGGCCGATCGGTGAGCACTTACTGCTCGCAGTCGTTGTCGTTGTGGTCGTCGTCATCCTCCGCCCCCCTCCTCCTCCTCCTCCTCTTCCTCCTCCTACTCCTCGCCTTTCTCGGCCTCGTCCAGCAACATTCTCGCCCAAGAAATTCGCCTCTGTCGACCAGGGGCTATCAGCACAGCAACATCATGGGCCAGCTCAGTGGGCTGGCAGGCTGTCATTACACCGGCGACTGTGTCCGAGTGCGGCAAGCCTTCAGGGGGCACGGCCATTTTGATTCGAGCCGTCTTTGATTACGGTGTTCAGTCTATGATTGTTCCTCAGCTCGACAGTCCTCATAGTTTGAGTGCAGTCACCTTAGAAGCACCAGGGCTTGGTCAGGTTGCAGTGGTGTCTATTTACCTGTACAACTCCGAGGGGATGTCTCAGCGAAACGCCCAGCTGCTAGCAGCAGCGGGAGAGCTACAGCAGCGATGCCAGATGCCGCTACCAGTTGGAGGTGATTCCAATCTCACTCCCACTACGTTGCTTCAGTCCGATTTTACGACCCGCGCCACGGTCAGAGTCCATAGCACTAGGAAGCCCACTCACATCGCCAAGAAACGTAGATCTGTCTTGGATTACTTTCTCGTCTCTGAGTCGATGGACGAGCGAGTGCAGAGCATTGAAATACTGGATTTCCCTATGACCCCGCACCGAGTGGTGCAGCTGGAGTTGACTAGTGGCCAATACTTCGTTCCAATATTGCAGCAGCCTCAGCAGATCCCCAAGTCACTCCCCTACGGTCCCAGGCTTCCGGAGCTAACCTGGACAAAAACAGCAGCAGCGATGAAGCAGGCGGAGGAGATCCTTTTCTTGGAGGACAGGTCGCATTCAGCGCAAAGTCCTTCGGTCAAGAAGGCAGCCTTGGATGCAGCCTATGAGGCCATGGTCCGGGACATGGAGAGGTCTTTGGCCCAGGACACAGACATGCAGCTCAGGCTTCAGTCGCTTCGAGGGCTCCCACCCAGGATCAAAAGGTTACCAACTACCACGGTGCAGAAACAGCACCAGAAATCTGGCAAAGCCGTTGATCTGGCTTCGAGGCAAAGTTCAAGACACTCGCACACGGTTTTCGGAGCAATCCTGGACTGGCCCGGGGGTTCACGAAAATGAGGTCCAGTGGGCCCTGGAGGATGTGCAAGACCCGCACCAGCAGTTCAGCAGCTCAGGTAGTCTTCAGCAGTTTCTCGACTCGTGTCGCAACGTCCTCATGGCTGTCGGCATCGATGCGCAGGCTGACAACCTGAATCCTGATCTAGGTGATCGCATGCTTTCAGACTTCTTGGAGGAGCTGGAGGATAACACCAGCAAGGAGGAGAGGCAGAGCATGGTGGACAGCACCAAGCAGTGGAGGGACTGTGTCGCCACGGCGATGCAAGGATGGGCAAGTAAAGCACACGCCTACTCCCGCTCCCACGCCCCATGGCGGCCGCAGGCCGCCAAACACGGAGGGAGGTGGTCGGGGAGGCCCAGTCACATGTTGCAGGCCGAAGCCGGTCGGCTGCAGGAGCTCTGGCGGTCCCAGTCACACGAGGGCCCGATGTTCGAGGGGGAGTCGAAAGATAAAGTCCTCGACAATTTAACGCCCCAGCAGATCAAATCCGCAGCCCGCACTTTCCCTAAGCGCGCCAGCATGACTTGGGATGGCTTCCACCCCGTTCATTTTACCAAGATCGGTGACGAAGGCCTGCAGATTGTGGCCTCTCTTTTCGCCCTGGTCGAATCGCTGGGTACATTTCCTTCGTCTCTCGGAGCTGTCCTGACTGTCCTCACCCCCAAACATAAGAGTGTTGGGGACAAGCCGCAGTACAGAGGAATCGGCATGTTCCCCAGCTCCTATAGACTGTGGGCCCGCGCCAGACAGCACAGTACGTCAAGCCCGTGCTGCACACGGGCGCTGTCATGTGGGACTTGTCTCACTACTACGAGCACGTGTCTCCAGATGTTCTTTTTGTCAAGGCCAAGAAACACAGCTTCAACACACACACATCTTGGCTGTGATTCTCAACCAGCACAAGTTCCAGCGCCTGGTATCGTATGCTACGCTTGTCGCTCACGCAGGGTATGCCACAAGGAGGCTGCCTGCTAGGGCCAGTTTTGCTATGTTTCTCATCCAAGCTTATTGTGTTGACGACCTTTCGGCTTGGCAGTCCAGGCACAGCGACGTCCACTTAAGCGTCTTCATCGACGACTTCCTTCAGCAAGTCCAGAGCCAATCCATGTTCACGGTCCTGCCCGCCCAAGATTTAAGGGATCTGATTGTCGACAAGTTGCAATGCAGCATCGCCGACCACAAGTCTGTCGTCCTTGCGTCGTCGGACACGCTGAGGCAGAAGCTAGCTAAAGCCTTGGGGCCCCAAGGAGGCCAGCCGGGAGTTTCTGCCCCCAATCTTGGCATCGATTACTTTGTTGACCGGAAGCGCAATATGAAAAAGCACCGGCCCAAGGCCATTGAACGGCACCAAAACCTTCGCGAAAGACTAGGTCGACTCTCGTCGCTCAGAGCTGGGGGAGCCAACATCAGCAAGCTGTATGCCGGAGGACTCCAGCAGGCAGGACACTACGGCACGGAGGTTCTAGAAGCTGATGACAACGAAGTGAGGGGCATCCAATCCACGTTTCTGAAGGCCGTGGGCCCGCGATGCTCCACTAGATCTCGCTCCCTCAGCCTCCTCCTCCTCTTCCTCCTCCTCCTCCTCTTCCTCCTCCTCATCAATGATCCCACTTGGAGGGTGGGAGTTGGGCCGTGTTTAACCTGGGCAGAGATCGTGTGGAGAGCTTCCACTGCGCGAGACAGAGGAATCACCCTGCCCGAACTTAGGGATTTAGTTGCCCCCATTTTGGCTGCTCCCCCCAAGAGGTGGTTGGACTCCAGGGGCCCCTTCGGAGCATGCCTTCTCTCGCTCAGCAGACTTGGTTGGAAGGCCGTTAGTTAGTTCGAGTTTTCGGACAGGGATGGCTCACTCTTTCCCCTCACCTCGGTCTCGCCCGCCTTCCTCTCCGCCGCGCTGCAGAAGTCATGGCGGGACAGGCTGGTGGAGCAAGCGAGCGAGCGACTGGGGTGGGTGGGGGATCACGTCTGCGTTTCTGCTGCCCTCAGCGTCCTCAACTCCCCTTCTCGTACCCCTCGGGAGAGTTCCATCCTCCTCGCCTTCCTCTCCCGGAGTAAATGGACCAAGGTTGGTCTTCGAGAGGCGGGTTATGAGGTGGACTGCAAGTGCCCGTGCGGGCACGAGCATGACAGCATGTATCAGACTGTTCGAATGCGTCCTTTCGGCGGCCGAGCGAGCTGAGCATTTCAGTTTGAAGATATCGATGCTCTCAAGAATGCGGACTGGACTCATCTTCAGGCGGGTCTGGACGTCAAGGTAAAGTTTGATGTCAATGCCCCAGCAGGGCTTGGTCTCGAAAATGCGACCTTGTGGGCGTTTGACCCGAACACCACTCTAGCCCAAGCCCCGCAGAGCAACTTGTACCTAGACGGATCGTGCTTTAAAGTAGGGCCTAAGTGTTACCACCGAGCGGGATGGCCTGTTGTAGTCTTTGACCCTGCCACGGGTGAAGCCATAGCTGCGTTAGCGGGCCCTGTTGGTAGAGTTTTGCCTCAGACCTTACCCGCGGCAGAATTCTTAGCTGCATACGCCGCGGTCAAATTTTGAAGTACCATCTCGGCCTCGACTACACTGGCACATGCAGTCTGCACGCCCCAGGTCTGTCCCCTAAAGGTTTTTGTTCTGGACTCAAATTGCTCATTGAAGGTTGTGCCGGCTGGAGCCGGGACATCGACCTGATCAAAGTCAAGTCGCATCATAAGCTCTCCAATTCAGAGCCCCACACCGAGAAATAGCGGCATGCTTCGGGAAACGCCGAGGCCGATCGGTGGGCGAAGTGGGCGGCCAACGAGCTGTTGCAACCCTCCCCTGCTGACGGTCAACAGACAGAATCGGGTTTCAAGGTGTTGCAACGTTTTCTACACTATGCTTGTAAGGTCTTGCCAAAGTGGTCTCCGGTTGCCTCCAAGCCTGGGGGCAAAGCATTGGCCAAACCGAACAAATCGAATAATCCCCCTGTTGGGGCTGCATCCGCCCCTGGCTCCAATCTTGTGCACCCTCCTCCCCGCCCCCCTGTGGTATCTGGGGGTCGTGTGGTGCATGATTGGACTTGGAGCCTTCGGGATGGGCTCGCAAGCTGTGCAAGACGAGGGCGCTTTCTGAGGCGCGGAAAGAAGCCAGGCTCAACGAGAAGTGCACTGGCAAACCCTCGCTGCTGGCAGTCACGGCCACACGCTGGTGGTGGCCGATGTTGAGACAGGCGAGAGCTTCATCATTGCTTGTCAGACTTGTGGAGCTTATGCGGTCTCGAATCCGCGTAATTTGTCCAGCTTTTGTCCAAGGCGCTTTTCGGACGCCCAGAAGCGTGGATCCAAGTATGCATGGAATGAGATGTGTCAAGGAAGGCACCCTAAGAAGCCCAGAGTGCAGCTTCGCCCCTTCATCCCCCTGGCCCAGCTCCTGGCAGATTTAGCCCAGGAGCAGCAGGAGCAGGAGAGGGAGGAGGGTAGGTAGGGCTGGAGCGGGGAGCGCGCGCGGGGAGAGTGACCCCCCCGCGCGCGGCCCAATCTCGCCAACCAGATCTCCCAGGCGCGTCCCGCGCCTCCGTGCCGCTGCGCGATTGCAGCCAAGACGGCAGAACCCCCTTTCAGGATGCGTGCTGGTCCACCTCCTCCTCCTCCTCCTCCTCCTCCTCCTCCACCTCCTCCTCCCTCCTCCTCCTCCTCCTCCCTCCTCCTCCTCCTCCTCTTCCTCATCCTCCTCCTCCTCCTCCTCCTCCTCCTCCTCCCCTCCCCCTCCTCCTCCTCCTCCTCCTCCTCCTCCTCCTCCTCCTCCTCCTCCTCCTCCTCCTCCGCTTCTCCTCCTCCTCCTCCTCCTCCCCCTCCTCCTCCTCCTCCTCCCCCTCCTCCTCCTTGTTCTCCTCCTCCTCCTCCTCCTCCTCGTCCTCCTCCTCCTCCTCCAGTCCCCCCCCCCCGCATGGGAGCGCCCCCAAAGGCTGCGGATGGAGAGTCCCAGACCCTGCCTCGTCTGGGTTCCTGGGAAGTGGGCTCCTGAGATGTGGACTCATGGGAAGTGGGCTCCTGGGAATTGAACTTCAACGCCGCAGTAGTACGGATATCGTGAGCAAATACCACTCGTGCACAATATCTTACCAGATTCCCATCGCATGCCCAGAAGAATTCGCACGGCGTTCCTGCAGCACTTATCTTACAGCAGATGGACCCACACCCAAACCAACACCCCATACCACCCTTGCCCAGACAATATTCATCAGAGCAGACGTAGTAAAAGGGCGGAAGAAGAGGCGACAAGCAGCAACAGCAGCAACAGCAGGGGCAGGAAAGGGAAGAAGCGGACGATGATGAGGGGAATGATGAAGCGAGGAAGCTGAGGAAGTGTCGTGGCAATGCACTGGTGGAGCCCTCCGGACAGGGTGCCTTTGGCCAGCCAACGCGCCGCGTACTCCTCTGTGCCCCTGGCCAAGCGCATCGTGTTCAGATCAACGGCCTTCGACACCTGGGCTTCTCCGGAAGACGGAGGAAGGGGGAGGACGGAGGGGAACGAGGGATGATGAGGAGGAAATCGGGGAGGAGGAGGAGGAGGAGGAGGAGCAGGAGGAGGAGGAGGAGGAGGAAGAAGAAGACGGGGAGGAAGAGGAGGAGGAGGAGGACGAGGAGGGGGACACGCCACTGATGGGAAAGAGAAAAAGAAAGAGATGGTCCGACGAATCTAAATTGCCCCAGGTGGGGGCCCATCGGAAAGGACCCTTTTTCTGACACCCTGGCAAGAGGTCAATCTTTGCCAGGGGCCAAGTACTGGGCCCCGCTTGGAAAAACAACTTGTCATTATTCTTTACTGGCAGGTCGACGGCCTACTGATTGACACGAAACTTGCGGCCGAGGTTCCGTGCCTCCCCTTCGTTCAAGCCGGAAGCCTGGAGGCACCCATACGAGCACACATCGTGCCGACTGTTGGTCGCGCACATGCTTGCGGTATTCGCACCGGTGAAGGCCCCTGACACGGCCTCTGAGAGCGCGTTGCTGTCTGAATCGCCAAGCCCCCCCCCCGCCCCCACCTCGCTCGAATCCTCGATTCCGTGATACCGGAGTTCATTGAGTGCCCGCCAGAAAAAAAACTCTCCGCGCCAGGCTCGCCTTGACCAGATCTTGGCACGGGCGTCCTCGTCGGAGCTGCGACACGCAACGAACCTTGCCCGCCTGGCTAAGCGTCCAGGGGAGACAGGAGGTCCCACTCCTGATCGGAGGCTTCCCTGAGCCTCCAGGGAACTGAAAAAGGCGACCCACCCCTGACATGGGAGAGCATGGGATCCTGGACCACAACCCAAGGCTTCGGTGTTGCTGCCGAGGCAAATCCCGAATTCAACAAAGCCCGCAAGACCGCGTCGGAGAGGCGACTGCCCCGCAATATAAGCGCACGATTTCGCGGCATCGGATGTCACCTGCGCAAGGGCGTCCCTCGCTCAGCCCCCGAGCGCGCACATCGACGCCAACCCGAGAGAGCACCCCCTGGGCAAGCGACCCTCAGCGCGCGCAGCGGCTACGCGCAAATTCGCAAACTTGCCGTCTGGAAGACCAGGGCGCCGGCCACCCAGAGGGCCCCAGCGAAATGGGCAACTCTAGAAGAATTGCCAGATCAACCACGACCCTGGAAAATTCCCTCCGGACATCAGAACACCTCTCCTGCCGGGTAGTGACACGACGACGAGTGCCGTCTGTCGCGTCGCCAACGAGGTCGCGGCGCACCCGGCAGAAAGCAAAGGCTGGGAGGCCGCACCCCTCGAGAAGGCCCTCCGCGGCCTCGAGGGAGGAAGGCCTGATCCCCGTCTTTTTCCCGGCGATGAGCACCCTCTTGGCCTGAAACTCGCCAGAGACTTGGTCACGTGCAAGCCCATGTCGCGCCGCGCTGCCGCCGCCCCGCCAAGTGCCTGAAACGAGACGCCATCGATGGCGCTCTAGAGGCAGGCCGCCCGGCACGTCGAGGCGACCTTGCGAAGGCGCCCGAACAAAGGTCGGCGCGCGACGGAAGTCGCGACGGAACAACCCGCGATCAAGGCCCCGTTAAGGATAACGAAGCGGCTCACAGCCCCCTGCCAGGACACGCTGCGAGAGACCCGATACAAGGACACTCGAGGCTCTGAGAAGGGGCAAGGGGGAATCGGCTTGGCGGGCGGCTCCCGGGAAGTCTCCGTGGCCGATGCGTTCATAGGACTTGCGAGCATCAGAAAATAGACTGCTGGCGACCAGGCTGTGCAAGCTGCGCGCGCGCCGCCAGGGCGTCGCGCGCCCGCGCGCTCTTGTCGCGGGCTGTGCTTGAGCTCATCCCCCAGACAAGCTTCGCGTCAACCGAGCGCTCCCATTCCGAGCGCAGCCAGAGGCGGACGCGGTCCCAGACTCTGGTCCAGAGCAGGAGCAAGCAAATGGGCCTGATCCCACCGCTGGCTCTCTAAAACGACCACAAGCATTCGCCGCATGTGGCCGCGCCTGCGGGGCGACGTTCCCACGCCGTCAAGACGCCGGCAAAGGCCGCGCCAAGCGGCAGCGGCAATTGCAACTGAGGGCGGAGGGCAAAATAATCTCAACTGGACCCCGTGGAAGAACTGAATGTCTTCGCCGCCTCGAGAACCTACTTAGCGTTGATGGGCGGGGGATCCGAATCCACCATCCGCCCCGCGGGCGGCTGCTCCGACCCCGAGGGCGGCTTGCCCCCGATTGCAAGCCGCTCCTCCAAAGTCTGGTCGAAAGCCTGCAGCCCGACCAGAAGCTGCGCGAAGGGCGAGACGCTCCGCATACTCCTCCCCCAGATCAGCGGCGACCAGCAGGGGCAGCGCCGCGCGGCGGTTCGCGCGCTGCGGGGCAGGCCGAGCCCCTCGCTCAACCGACGCTTGGGCCCAGGAGCTCCACTTCCCACGGCCCGCGGCAGCCACTTGCACCGCCCGCGGCAGCCTCTCGCACCGCTCCGCAGCGGCTGCTCTGGAGGACTCGACGCCCAGCGACGCGACAAAGAAAGCCACGGAGTGCTCGAGGAGAGCCTCCACGAGGGCGCCTTCAAAGAGGTGGTTGAGCTTTGCAGCTGCAGCAAACAAACGGGGCCCATTCGCCTGGGGTCTTAAAACGTCAGCGCGAGCCCGCGCGTCGACGGCCAGCGCTGCGCGGCGAGGTTGCAGCGCCGGCGGAGCCCTTGGCCCCGGGCCGCCCGCGTAGTCAGCGCTGCACCTGGCGCCCCTTCGAACGACCGAGGTGCTCTGAGTCCACCGCTCGGTGGACTTCACAAGGCCTGTTCGCAGCGACGAACCATCTGCAGGCGGCCTCTAGAGGGTCAGGACCGCTCCAGGAGCGCCAACCCCCATGGCCTCGTCGCCCTTCTCCGAGCAAGGCAGCGGGGACATCGCAGGCACAATGCGATGCCAGACCTTGCTCCCGCTGGCACACCCGCGCAGCCGCGGCCCATGCGCCTGGCGCGGCCGCAACTATGATGCCGCGACCCTCGCGTTTGCAATGATCGAAGCAAGCGCCCGCGACAATGTAGTCGTAGCACTTGTCGTCGCAAGTCATTCCAGGAGGACTTGCGGTCGAAGTCCCCAACCAGATGTCCACCTGGCCGTGCGTGAATCTTCTGCGTCGACGTTCCAATCCTCAGCTCGTCGCAAAGAGGATCCCCGCCGCGGCCACACAAGCTCACACGGTCTTAAAAATAGCGATCAGCTCCGAGAGATACCCATTAAATCTGCGACGCAAGGTGCGACTTGACCGAGATCGCTGCGCCGTCGGACTTCGCGCGCTGCCCCGCAGACGCACCTTGCACAAAGGTCGACGCATGGCCGGCCGCGCGCGCCCAAGTCCGCGGCGCGGGAACCTGCAACTCTGCGAGCCGATGTTCTCGGCAAAACACGGCGTCGGATTTGACATGCTCGTCTGTGGCCAACTCTGAAACCTTCCCCGCAGCCCACGCATGCGAATTGCAGGCGGCAATCCGCAGCTCGGTCGAGGACGCTGCAATCGGCGAGCTGGTTGAAGGAGGGGGGCCGCGCGACGACGCGCTGCCCGGGGCTGCCGCAGCCGCCTCGGGAATGCCGGGCACATGGGGGCGCCGCGCCGCCGCCGAGCAGGTCCAAGGCGAAGAAGATGCCGCCGTCGACGCGCCCGTCGACGCCCGCGGCGAAAAAAAGACAAAGGCCACCTCGAAGCAGCCAACGGCCCCGACGAAGCTGGCGAGTTCCACCTCGGCCAGGCGCCGGCGGAGAGAGGCGCGCGCACGAGCCCCGCGCGCTCCATATCACTTTACCCCCAAAATCACCGGCGGATCTCGCCCCTCAGACCGGCGCCTGAGCTGCATGGGCCTCGCGGGCCCCCCGCAGCAGGGCCGCGACCCCAGCGGGGTCGCCGTGGCCAGCTGAAGCCGCGGCAGCTTCTGCAGGAGAGGGCCGCCGTTCGTAGCCCCTCGAGGGCCGCCCGAGCCCGCAGCTGGGGCGCCGCTGGCCGCGGCGGCTGCTGGCGCCACCAGGCCCGACTCAGGCCCGGCGCCGTGGCCCGATCCAAGGGTGGGCCCGCTTCGCCTTCTCGGGGCCTGCCTGGGACCTCGACGTCCGCGGAGGCGACGCGCCGCTTCTTGGCGTGCATCTGCTTCTGGAGCGCGGCGGTCTCCTCGCGAAGCCTCTGGGTGTTCTAGGCCGCGAGGCCCACTGCTGCCGCGGCCGCCTGCTGATATCTTGGCCGAGCGTCTGCGCGTGGTTTCGAGCTCTTCCCAGCGATGGCGGCCCGCCTCTTCGACGTCCACGTCGTCTAGACTGAACCCGTCTCCCTCGATGATTTCCACTTCGGCAAAGCCCTCGCTCCCCTCCAGCTGGGGACACATGATTTGGACTTGTTGGCCGTTGCTGCCCAAACAACCCTCCGCCACGGGGGGCCGGACTCCGCCGCTACCAGCGCGCGGGAGCTCCGACGCGAGCTCGTGCAGCCACTCCTTCTTCTGGTCAAATTTCCACCGCGCTGCCGACGCAGCACCCTCCACAAACTCATCGCACCACTTCTTGGCCCCCGCCTCCCGCGCCGCGCGCTGCTGCAGCGCCGCCTCGGCCCTGCGTCGCGCCACCCCCTAATAGAGCCTCGAGGAGGGGCGTGCGCTAGGGCGGCGGCGCCGGGGCGCGCCGCGGGACCGACGGGCCCAGGCGACCCTTCCCCCCCAGCTCCACAGCGGGATATGGCGGCGAGCGCGGCAGCGCTTGAGGGGGGATTGCGCTCTTCTGTAGGCGTCGACCAATGTGTCGCAAGAAGCCCCAAATGGCAGCGGTCGGCAACATTAAGACACAGCGCGCGCGGGGACAACGGATGAGCAAGAGCAAACAAGGACACGGAACGCATCTGACGCCACTGGCCAAATACACAGGCAAGACACGCGTTTCTTTCAACGCGGATCTTCAACTCTGCAGATTCGAGCCCGTCGCTAGCTCAAATCCAAGTCTCGTCAGGGGGCAAGCATCGTGAATAACGCGTGCTGGT